CAAGTACATGAACTGGTGTTCATATGGGATCCCGGTGCTTACAAGGTAAGGATTTAGCCACTTAGTCATTGCACTGGGTCAGAGCCTAATTCTTAGTACAAACAAACAAACAAACAAACAAACAAATTAGGTCCAATTCTTTTCTTTTGAAATCGCAAGAGACATGAAAACAAACTCAAGAAGTAGAGACTCAATCCAATAATTGTATAGGAACCTCAAGTGATGGGTACCTGCAGTTAGAGTTGGCTTATGTTGGGAAATACTTGCTTTGAGTAGAAAACAGACTGGGCTCCTTTGAAATCTCTTTTAGTTCTGCATGATTGGTTATACATTTTTTTCCCTAAAGATTTTTTTTTAATTGGATAGGCAAATATACAGCAAGAAGGAGATACAAAGAAAAAGATCTTCTGTCTGCTGTTTCTCTTCCCAAGTGACTGCAATAACCAGAGCTGAGCCAATCTGAAGCCAGGAACCAGGAGCTAGGAACTTCTTCCCGTCTCCCATATGGGTGCAGGGTCATGCTCTACTGTTTTCCCAAGCCAAAGCAGGGAGCTGGATGGGAAGTGGAGTAACTGGGACACAAACCAGTGCCTATATGGGATCTCGGCATATGCAAGGCGAGGAGTTAGTCATTAGGTTATTGCTTTGGGCCCATGCAATTATTTTTATGAGTGATTATGGGACACAATTTGAGCCCCAGATATTCTGGATCTTCCGTCTTGCAGAATAGTTTAATTTTGACTAAGGGAAGGCAGATTACTTCCAGAAAATGGAGGGGAAATCATTGGCCCTGCTAGCGTTTATCCTGTCACAAGTGCAGAGCAGACTCTTCATCAGTGATTTGATCCTGGGGAGGCTGGGTTGTGTTTTGCATGAACCAACTGGCTTTGGGAAGCCAGGCATATCTTACAGTACTCATTATGTTGACTGCACACCCCTAACATAGTCTATCTCCAGTTTTGTCCCTATCCTTGAATCTGCAGTCCTATTTTTTTTTTTTTCCTTTTATGAGTCATACCTCGGCCTCTGGGCTTGTGTTAGGTGAGGTGTCTTGTTGCTCCTACCAAGCTTTTAAACTGAAACCACATAATAATTCATGCTTGAGTACACATTGCGATCTGTTTATGGGACAGGATTTACCTGCCAGCCAATTGCTGAGGCTGCACATAAAAACACACACTCCTCGCAGAAGAGCCCAGAGACTCAGTCTAGGAAGCATCTGTCACAACTGGAATCTTCTCTGTTGAGTGGCTTTGTGTCATGTACTCCACCACGGACAATCCTTGGCATTTGGAGTATGCCACAGCTTACTCGGTGTGTTGATGTTACTCTCTGTAGTGAGACAGCTTGTTTGTCTGGAATAGAGGCTAGGATTGTTAATGCGTCGCCACTAAAAAATAGGAGGGTTAGAGCTAGTGCTGTCCCGAGAGTCTCTGGGGTTTTGAGCCTTCTCCTCAACTTCCCGCTTAGGGCTGTACCTGCTGCCTGGCAGGTGGGGCTGAATCATTCAGGATGCATGGAAAGGGAGGGGCAAAAAGTGAAGGCTTATATTTCCTTTACAGAGTCACAGCTCTAGTCTCACCTGTCTGCTTCACTACCGGAAAGCAGCAAAGGTAAAGAGAAACATTTCTGTGCTTTACTATCTCAACGGAGTTTGCTGTGACAGGGGAACAAATAGGAGTAAGTCATGGTATCTAGTCAAGTAGGTCCTGAGTCAAATAAGGGTGCAGCCAATGTAATTGAGTGAGGCTGTTGCTGTTCCCTTGATGGATATGTGAAAATGTTTGGATGTCATTGAGAGCATTCTTTTAGAAACCTCTGAGACAGCTTCACTTGATTTCACATATCTGATTTGCTTAGCAAAATGGAACTTCTGGTATTTTCTACTTGCTCACAGGTAACGCTTGTTTAAGGCCAAACTTCTCCAGCATGTCTGTGTCCTCTGGGTAATGAAACACTTCTTAGCTTCTGAGGAAATCTGAGCTCGATGGAACCAGGCTTATTGATTACTGCATTTTAGTAATAATTTCTCTATTTTTCTAGCTCTTACTTTTTTGTTGAGGCTTTGGAATTAGCCTCTTAAATAGAGCATGAATTCTTCACATGGGCTAAAGTGTTAAAGCTCATGTCAGCGTGAAAGGAAGCACTTTCTAAAATTCCTTTTCTTTCTAGGTTATCTGAGGTTTAGAGAGTTTGAAAAATAGCGAGAGTAAAAGAGCAGCTGTTTAGGGAAGGGGAGGATGGCATTTGGTGAGCTGTCCTGAGGAAAGTGACTTTGAGAGCGGTGGGAACCCACCCAGGCTGCTCCGGGTCTGAAGAAGTTGGGTATTTGCCTGCTCAGGAAAGAGATTTCTTCCAGAAAAGCAGACCCACACCCTCTGCACCTGTGCAGTGTGTGGTTTCCCTTCTGAAACCTGCTCCCCTCTTCCCACTTCCTGTGCAGACCGTCTCTTCCGGAGCTCCCCCTTCTTAACCTGGAAATGTCACAGACTTGGGTCACTTTCTTCTTTCCCTTTTCTGTCCTACTTACTTCTAATACATCTGGTTTGCTAGGAAGATTTTCCCATAAAGGGAAGCAAAAGCTCAGTCAAGACATTTTTCTGTCACTTGTCCATCACTAGGGATTCAAGTAATAGCTCTTGTACCTCTAGGATTTTTCTAACTTCCATTTTCCACCTGAGTGTGAGTCTTTGGTAAGTTTGTGTTTTCCATTGGGTTTCTCCTCCTGAAGCTGACTGGGAAATACTAACTAGACAAGAAACTGTAAGCTATTCTAATGCTGACTTCCCTAATGAATGTTGACTCCTGGGTGAATGTGAAAGACATTGATAAGTTACACTGCATTTGCCCTTGCCATCAAGGAACGTGCAGTCTAGTAAGGGAAAAAGACCAAGAAAATCCAATTAAGCCAACTTGTAAACCCATCTAACAACACCTTTGGATGTTTAAAGGCAATTATCTCGATGTGGAGGGTGCAATCCATAAAAGCCATTGCAAAAAAATCACTTCGATATAAGATTAGCAGAAAAAGTCAGTTTTGAAGACACTGTGCTAACAGCCAGAAAGGTGGAATTTTCAGAAAATGGCAGAAGTAGCTATCTTTAATGCTAGATCAGTAGTAATTAGAACTTCATCTTGCAAATGACATGCCATATTTCAAAACTCATGGTCTAATTGTAGTTATGTATTTTCTGTAACTCTGGTATTTTTTTTTATTTGAGGAAAACCTAAATTTCAAGTTTCACTTCTTGATTGTGTGAATGGAATGCTAGAAGAGTTGCAATATCCTAACTGTGAAGCTAGTAAAAAAGAACATCTAATAGCCATTAGTTATGAAATTAAATCTGTTGATGTTTTGTGTCTTGATACAATTTCTTAGTTTTCTATTAGATGCTATTATTAATATACAAGAATGATAATCATAGTGTAACAAAAAGAAATGAATTTTACCTCCAGTAACAGCTTGTTTGAAAAGCACATGGTAGCAAGTGGGAGAAGCCGAGGTTTCAGGAAAATTGGATCCACATTCAAATCCATTCAGATCCATCCAGATCTGTACAGATCCTTACTCTTGTACTTCTGGGTGGGTCCTCTCTAAGGACCTGGTGTCTTACCATTAAAACTGTAGGAACTTCATGTATCCTTCGGAACTTAGAATCCTGAATGACGGACATATGGGGTTTGTTATACATACAAACCTTGTGTTTCATTTTTTCCCATACTAGAAAATTTACACACAGGTAAGTAAGTAGAGTTGTGTGATGATGCTTATGTTAGCACTGTTTACTATGATTTTGAAGTAGGCCACTTGGTGTATTTCTATGGGGAATGGTTAGATAAGACTGGTGGAAGCATAAAATGTACAATTAAGTGAAATATGGAAACGCTCTTAGTACAAGCTTGTCTATGAAGATTTAAACTAAAAGGATACACTTTCAAGGATATGTTTTAACTCAGTGTTGCCCATTGAAGCAGAGGGGAAAGAATGTGTTAGATCCAAGCTGCAAGCCAAAGACAGAATCGACTCTGTAACCTAAGAATGGCAAGAACTGAGGAATATGACATGTCCTATCTTCTAGACTTGCGATTATAAAAAAGAAACAACAAAAAAGATGAATAAAAATGGCCTGAAAATAATAATTGGCCTGTCAATATATTCCAAACTATTTTCTTCTGTGTCCCAGCAAGCACAGGTTAACTGTAACTATGACCTTTGGGATGGCCATTTTATAATAATTTTTTCAAGATTTATTTTTTTTTATTGCAAAGTCAGATATACAGAGAGGAGGAGAGACAGAGAGGAAGATTTTCCATCTGACGATTCACTCCCCAAGTGACTGCAATGGCCAGTGCTGTGCCGATCTGAAGCCAGGAGCCAGGAACTTTCTCCAGGTCTCCCACGCAGGTGCAGGGTCCCAAGGCTTTGGGCCGTCCTCGACTGCTTTCCCAGGCCACAAGCAGGGAATTTGTCAAATTTGCTCTCAGACTTTCTATTTGCTTGAACAAGAATGGTTAGTACAAAGTCGGTCTTTGAGGTGGCTAAGGTAGGCCATCAACTGGGAAAACATTTCATTTCGTTGAGGTTTTATAGCTCAAGAATTTTCTGTGTAGAACTTCTCTGCACAAATTCCAGAATGGAGACTTTCTTAAAGCATAAAACTTAGGAGCAAAAAGATCTGGTTCCTTGCACACTTTTGCTGCAGGACAACAACAGACTGTCCTTAAATGTACACGTTTAATAGTGAGGTAATTTTGTTGTTTTAATGAATAGTAAATCTTTCATTCCTTAGATGGTAAAAATATCATGAATTCCCCTTTCTAGGATTTACTAATTCCTTAGAAAATGCGATAAGGGCACATTCGCAATTTTTCATGAAGTGTCTTATTCAGACAATTACAGTTGTGAAAATATAGAAACTGGATGTGGACATTACCTGTTCTTTCAAGGAATGCTCTGACATTTCCTCCTTTTTTGTACTCAAGCAGGGTTTAACATAAAGATGGATTCCCTCAGCACAGCAGGTGTTGAGTTTTGCCTGGATGTGCTCAAGGAATTGAATAGCAACAGTGCAGGAGATAACGTCTTCTTTTCCCCACTGAGTCTACTGTATGCTCTGCATATGATCCTTCTCGGTGCCGGGGGAAACAGCGCAGAGCAAATCAAAAAGGTATGGTACCTATCAGAGAGCCCTTCCACGAGCCCGCTTTGCGTCAGCCAAGGTATTTCTACTTTTATATCAAGAAAATCCACCAACTTCTAAAATGGAAAAAAAAAAAAGAGACTGCATTTGGAAAAAACTATTTTCCTCCAAATAGAATATGGCTTAATAATGTAATATAATGGAATGAAAATAATACAGTTACTAGTGGTACCACAAATAAATGTTTCTGGTTGTAGAATTTCCTTCTTGAGTGACTTATGTGTGGCAGAGAACATCGGCATGCTATCATTCTTAAACTCTGGATGTTTAATCTTACAATAAAACTTACTAGCACCTTAGAAGTGTTATGTCCTGAAAGACACATGTCATTGCATCTTTTTCATGACAGTGCTGTGTGGGAGTGGGGAATGTTAACCCCCAAATGCAGGTGAGAAAACTTAGATTCAGTCTACATGGAGTAGCAACAGTGCAGAAGGCCCAGTGCTGGAGCCTGGGAGCTTAGTAGCTGGAGCCTGAAAGACAATGTGTGGGTCAAGCTGTTGTGTCTGTCTTGAACTCAGTTTCTCCAACAGAAAATGTGGACACTCACAGCATTGTTGGGAAAGTAAATCGGATATGGTTATGACCTGATTCAGGACTTGCGTCCTAACAATGTCAAATGTGAGTTTGTTACTAATATTCCTGTGAAATGGACAAATAATATTTATAATTAAGCTTTGCAGACTGTATTAACTTCGATGTTGCTTGACTCTTCTCTGCCCCCCCCCCTAATCTTCTTTTCCAGGTGCTTCACTTTAATCACATTGCAGAAGCATCAAAATCAGAATTTACAGACTCACTTGAGGTAAGGTAACATTACTGAGCTGCCAAATGCCCCTTCAGTCACAGCACCTTGAAGTCACGAGGAGCTCAGCTGCAGAACCTCTTCGGCCCAGTGGGAACTGGTCACATCTTCCCCTGTCTCCTCCTCTAATCTTCCTGATAATCACTGCAGCCTAGAGAGCTTGACAATGAGAATAACGAAAGCTAAAAAACCCAACAATTTCCAGATTCTGTTATCTGATTTATTGTCGTGCTTACTGAGAGCTTTCTGGACCATTTCTGGACTTTTTCAGCCTCATCTTTGCAGTGCTGGATCTTTTTGTTTGTCTTGGAGTGACTGAAATGCACCCTATTCATTTCCATGTAACTATACACGGGGTCTGATGTTGCCCAATTGGTAAACTCTGGGAATTTAGTCCTTAGTTCTCTCAAGTAAGAGAATACTTTTTGACATCAAAGTTGACAGAACTCCTACATGAAAACAGAGTGCTTAAGTGATGGCTCAGAAGATACATAAATCCATATAGACACAGGGACCACTTGCTTCACCTAACTTATCTTAGAATATCAAAGACCAGGTTGGTCACAATTGTTTAGAGAATTTAGGCAACGCTCCCCCACCCCCATGATCGTGTATTATTGTCTTTCAAAGCGTCAAAGCTGCAACAGCAGAATTGCTATTGCTGAGGGGCAGATCAGAGTACAAGGTGTGTTCACGCAAAGGCTGAGGTGTCTGATTAAAAAGCCATATAGAAACCAAGACAATGGGAAGCATGTGACAGGAAAAGAAACGCTCCTACTAGAAAAAGGGAGAAACAAAACTCAAATTATTGTCCCGAGTATCATCCCACCAGAATCTCTTTGACTTGCCTTTCAATTAGCTAACAACTGAGTATAGAGCTCTGCAGTAGTTATAATTCTGCTCGCTTTGGCAACCAAAGTCACAGAGTTACAAGATTATGCTGGAGGACGCCTAGGGAAGAAAAGTGCTTTAAACTCTTCAACCTCTCCTGTCCACTGGCCTTTTGTTCTAAGGCTCTCTAGTATTGTTTTCTCATGGCTAACTCTCCACTGGCGAGAAACCAAGCAATTCAATACCTCGCTATTTGTTTACTGTCTTCAGTGCAGCCAAGCTGGGAGGACTCATTCAGACTTTGGAGTTTTAATCTCGCAGATCAACCAACTAGACTCTAACTATATCCTCAGTATTGCAAACAGACTCTATGGAACAAAAAAAATGGCATTCCATCAGGTAAGTAAATCCAGGATGGTGGGTGACAACTTTAACACCCTCTGAATTTCATAACACTGAAGACAATGAAGAGTGAGAAAAGTCATGCACTGTTTATCTTTTTAAGAGGTTGAATTTGAGGGCCCGGCATGATAGCCTAGTGGCTAAAGTCCTCACCTTGCATTCCCTGGAATCCCATATGGGTGCAGGTTCATGTCCTGGCTGCCCCACTTCCCGCCCAGCTCCCTGCTTGTGATCTGGGAAAGCAGTCCAGGACGGCTCAGAGCCTTAGGCCTTGCACCTGCGTGTGAGACCTGGAAGAAGCTCCTGGTTCCTGGCTTTGGATTAGTTCAGCTCCAGCCATTGTGGCCAACTGGGGAGGAGGATCGTTCTCTTTATAAATCTGACTTTCCAATAAAAATAAGTAAACCTTGTTTTTTTTTTTTAAGTTAAAAAGAGGTTGAATTTGAGTTGGCTTAGAGTTCCAGTGAAATGATTGTACCAAAATTCGCATTTAACGTGGTGAGATATCTCATAAAATCTATTTGTACAAAAATCCCTAAAGCCATCCAGCAAGCAAGGTCGGGGTGAAGAACAGAACAAAGCAGGCACGAACGATTTCTTACGGACCAGAGGAGAATGCACTAAACACGTTGCTCCGATCTTACTCAGAGCTGGTAATGGCAGAGCACCAAGAGGTGGTGGGGAGCGCTCTGGACAGTGAGTGAGGCGGCCGAAAGCCTGCTCTCACTCAGGATCACTCCTGTCGCTTGAGCACTGTAAACATGATTTCAAGTGTATTTGAGAGCAAGAGATAGAGATAGAGACAAATAGAGAGAGAGAGTGAGAGAGAGAGAGAGAGAATCTGCTGAATGTCCACCTGAATGCTCACATCATCACATCAGCTGGGCTGGGCCAAAGTCAGGATTGCATTCCAGGCAGGAACCCAATTAATTAAACCATCAATATGCCTCCTTCCAGGGTCTGCATTAGCAGATAACTTGAGTCAGGTGCCTCAGGCAGGAATTAAATCCAGGTGCTAGGACATGGAATGGAAGAATTTTTAAATTGCTAGACCAAAATGTCTGCTCCCATTCTCCTGTCATTAACATGATAAAAATTATACTATCTTCTAGCTTGAAAACTCAAGCACTATTTTCTGTCGCAACAACATTACACTACATAGTTTTAATGTGTGCTTAGTATTTGCCAATCCTTCTACTGTTTTTCCAATGCCTCTATGTCACTGGCATGATCTAATACTATCTTTGCATAATGTTAAGATACGGGTACAAAATTGTCATTAATTCCAGGACAGGAATCTGGTTCTAAAAGGTAAAGCTGTACAGATTCAGTTAAATGGCAACACCTGGATGGGAACTCCTTCTAATCCACCTCCATGCTTTTAGAGGCCACATCCTGCTGTGACTGGTGTGGGAGGCTGGGCAGCCATATTGCTTTTGGCCTTGAATACCAGCTGAGTCAGGAAAGATGAGCCCTTCTCTGGCCTGATTGCCCATGCTGTGTCTTAGATCTGACAAGATTCACCTTTCAGAGGTATGTGCTTCTACTGCCCTAGGGATATATAGGTAGGGGGAGTTTTATGCAGAGTGCCTGAAGTGGGGGGATTGGCAATGAATATTCTTTCAGGTTGGAGCCCCCTCTTTTACTCTCTCCCTGTCCCCTCCACCCACTTACCTCTGAACAGTGACCCAGGCATAATGGCAATAAATGCCAATCTGGAATGATGGTGAGAGTGACTGTACCTGAGTGAGGTGCTGCTTGTTAGCATTGTGGTGATGACTATAACATGTGTCACAGGCCAGACCTTACTATCTCAGGGTTCCTCCTGGGGAAAAAGTCCCATCTTGTAGGCTTTAGGGATCCACCAACGGATGTGCGAGGAACAGCTGGACCCAACTCAGGACCAGAATTATCCTGAGGCCTGCTTTTCCTTCCTAGTCAAACTCAGTTTCCTCCCACATTGGATTTAGGCACAAAGAGAAGTTAGGCAAATGGAAAGACAAATCCCATGCAGTCACCTTCACAACTCCCGTGCTCAGAAAGCTTTTGTCTTAGAACACAGTCCTGGCGGCCTGTGGAGGCATGCTCCTTAGTTCTCAGCGATGGAATCACTGGTAGTTTGGTTGAGCAGGTGCATTTGGCTGCTGTCTTGGCAGTGAGATGTGCAAAGCTTCCGGTTCTAGGAATCAAGGTAATATAGGTGGTAATTAATAGAGAAGAGAGAGATTGCTATAGAGGAGCATTTTTCCTAAAGGTTTATTTATTTAAAGATTTATTTATTTTCATTGGAAAGGCAGATACACAGGGAGGAGGAGAGACAGAGAGGAAGAGCTTCCATTTGCTTATTCTCTCCCCAAGTGGCTGCAACTGCTAGAGCTGAGTTGATTCAAAGCCAAGAGCTTTCTTTCGGTTTCCTATGCAGGTTTAGGGTCCCAAGGCTTTGCGCCGTCCTCCATTGGTCTCCCAGGCCACAAGCAGGGAGCTGGATGGGAAGTGGGGCTGTTGGGATGTGAACCAGTGGCCATATGGGATCCTAGCCCTTGCAAAGGAAGGATTTTAGCTACTAGGCTACTGTGCTGGGTCCCTTGGGAATAGTTTTAAAGGAGAAGTCTAGATTCCTTGTACTGAATTTATCTACTACTTTCACCTTGATATTATGTTATAGGTAAACAAAATGGTAAATTCCTTAAGATACTTTTGTTTGCACTTTATTCCCATTGTTGAAAATTTGAAAGGCAGAGTTAGAGATTGAATCTTAATATAACTTTTAACAAATATCAATTATACAAGTCAGAGAAAGTTATTATTTTATTTATGGTGGCTGTGGGAAGACTTTCTGCTAGACTTCAGACCAGTAGTCACTTAATCACTCTAGTTCTATATTTTCCTGTCTGTAACATGAGAACAATCTCTATTGTTTGTGTACTTTGAAGAGGAAAAAGTAGGGAGAAATGAAAATGTGCTAACCGATCTCAGGGTGTTTTTTGGTTTTGTTCTGTGTTGCTTAGAATGTTTTAGAAGCAAGAGGCCATTGGTATGACAGAAATAACAAGCAAGCAACTCTAAGTATTCTTTTTGACTTCTGTTTGATTAAAAATAAGCTTAGGCAGGTGTGCGTTCTTGCATGCTCAGCTGCTCCTGGCTGCAGGTTAGTGCTTAGAACACGCTGAGCTATAATAGGTCTTTGTGTTCCTTGCATCACTTCTCTGTTGTTCAATTGTCCTTTCCTTTACAGAAATATTTAACCTGTTCTGAGAAATTGTACCAAACTAGGTTGCAAACAGTTGACTTTGAAAAGTCCACAGAAGAAACGAGGAAAAAGATTAATGCTTGGGTTGAAAGCAGAACTAATGGTAAGTATCCTCACACATTATCTGTAATGCGTTGATCAAAGCTCTGAGTCAACACGAGGAACCTGCTTGAAGCTGAGAACTTGACAAAGGCAGAGCAAAAAGGAAAGAAGTAGGGTCACAGTTTGGAATAGCTTTCAGTCATTTTCCTGAATGGTCTATGCCAAATGACTTAGAAAATGAGGATGACCGGCATTTCCATCTTAGGTAAGTGTTGGTTTGTGACTAAATTTGATTAAACTTAAGTGCACTGTCTACAATTTAAGAAAAATACCTATTTCTTTTTATTCTACTTAGGTTTTTATTTTTAGTCATGTGAAAAGGAGAGAGAAAGAGAGAGAGAGAGAGAGGAAAGAATCCTCTATGGCTTCACTGGCTGGTTCATTCGTTCAATGCATGAGTCAGCTGGGTCTGGGCTGGGCAGAAGGGCTGGGTATGTGTCCATATGGCAAGGATTCAAGTTAATGAGCTATCACAACTTCCCTCTAAGTTGCACTTTCCTACAAAGCTGAAATTGGGAACAGTCTTAGGACTTGAACTTACTTATTCTGAGATGGAATAGGGCATTGCTGTGCTAAATGCCATCCTACCTCCAGTACTACATAGCAACTCTATTAACTCTATTTTTAAATATTATGTAATTGAAATCATAAAATACATGTCAAGTAAATAATTTGTTTATGAGATTTATCCCTGTAGATTATACGTTTTTCTCATTTTTATTGTTTATTTTGTTCTTTGAATAGCCCTAATATAGTTACTCACTCTACTGTTGATGAACACTTTTTTTTCAACTCATCTCTACTACAAACAGGGCTCCCATGAGCATTTCAATATAAATCTACGACACACAAATGTATGCAATTTTGATGGATGTATTACTTCATGATGGAATTGTGTTCATAAGATACATATTCACACTTAAATAGCAGGATGATGGACTTGTGATTGTCGTTGAGGGACTAAAGTATTGTTACAATATAGGGGGACACAGTGGGCAGAGGCGGGTGGAAGGAGAAATCCTTGAGCCTAAGGAACTATATCATGAAAAAATAAATTAAAAAATAAAAATGATGAGGAATAAAGGGAAGAGAAGATATGCATTCATTCAATTTTACTAGGTGCCATTTTTTTTCTTAAATTATAGCAGCCTTCATTTGCCTAAGCTACAGATTGAAATTTTACTTTTTCTCTGTTTTCCAGTAGGTGACAATATCAGTCTCATGGACTTTAACTGCTTCAGTTTTTCATTTAATTTACATTTCCTTTACTTATGAATGTTCGAGCACTTTGTCATGATCTTTATATCCTCCTTTGCAAGGTGCTTGTCTAAGTCTCTTGCTCTTCCGTAAGGATGATTTGTCTGTTTTTCTTAGAAATTTTTAGGAATTCTTGGTACTTCTCAAATACACACCATTTTGTATTTTGCCTTTCTCTTCTCTTAGTGGTCCAACTTCCTGATTTCAGGAGAGTAAAATTTCTTAGCCTTTTCCTTTTGATGCCCTTATGAACTTTTAACAAAATCTTTGCTTATTTATACTTCTTGAGAATATTTTCATACATTGTGTTGTAAAGTTTTACTGTTGTACTGCAATTAACAATCATTTCAAAAGTTGTTTCCTTCAATCTGGGCATCTCACGGACAAAGCACTATTTACGTAAGAAATCCTTTCACTACTCCCTGCAACACACACTTGATCCTCAGTTAAACAACTATGTGCGAGTGTGTTCCTCATTGTGTTCCCTTCAGCTGTTTGATGACAAAATCAAGAATAGCTTGTTGTTTTTAGTCTCCATAAGTCATCCCTGCTGAGTGTGATAATCCTTTTGGAGTGTAAGTCCTTTGACACTTGACATTGACCTTCCTCTTCTAGGGTTTCTTAAGCTAATTGCAATCATTACATTTCCATAAATATTATAAAGTTAAGTTGCAAGTTTCCATAAAGTGTATTGGTTCAGATTTTTATTTGAATTACATTGAATTTATAGATTTGGATGAACATCATTATTCAGATTTCAATCTACAATCACAATTTTTTGTTTAGTTGAATATATTTCAAAATAGAAAAGTGAAAAATATTATTGATAGATATCATACAGAATGTCCAATTACTTAGTTTGGCTGAATCTCCTAAACTTTCTTAGTGGGCATAGCTAAAAAATACATTTATTTTATAAGATGCATTTATTGATTTGGGGGCGGGGAGAGAGAGAGAGAGAGAAATCTTCCAACCATCGATTTACTCCTGGATGGGGCCAGGCCAAAGGCAGGAGCCAGGAGCTCAGCCTGGGTGAGAGGGACCCAAGCACTTGGGTCACAAGTGATGCTTTCCCAGGTGCATTGCAGGAAGCAGACTGAAAGCAGAGTACCACAAACTTGAAATAGCACTTTGAAATGGGTGTAAGTGTTGCAGGCAGTGGCTCAACCTGTACTACAGTGACTACCACCCCCACACATATTTTAAATTAAAGCATAATCTCTTACTGATATTTCCTATTTAAATGTAAGTGCTGCAATTTTTATTAGATGCTGCTTTACGCCTGTTTCTCTTTTATCTTGTGTTCAAGTCACCATTTTCTAATGTCACCAATATTTTTGTACAATTATATTCATCCCCATAATATAGCCTTAAAATAACACCACTAGCAAAACAATGAAAGATTATTGCTTAAGATATTTCTGCTGAGTCATTTGCTTCTTAGGATGGATCCTACTAGAGGCATATAGTCAAATCCTCCTGTTGCAATACTCCTTTGTGAGGTTAAGCCACAAGGAGCATTGGTTGCTGAAGTCTCAGGACTCAGGCAAGCATATTCTCATATACAGGAGAGAACTGGGCTGATCAAATAATAAGACAGAATGGAATGGCATCCAAATACAAAATCAGGATTAATTATATCTATGTAGAGTTTGTCAGTATGAAAAATGTATGCTTTTGTGGGTATAATAATCATATTTTTCTTGTATTCCATTAAATTGTTTAATGAGGAAGTCTCAACAGTAACTTCTTGATTAATGGGCTGACAGATGTTATTCAAGCTTAGTCATAGGTGACCATTATTTAATTCAATTTGAGTGAGGAAATGCTGGGACTAGTGCTGTGGTATACAGGTAGCACCACTGCCTGGGATGCCAGTATCCCATAGAGACACAGGTTCCCATTCAGGCTGGGAAAAGCATCAGAAGATGACCCAAGTGTTTTGGACTTCTGGTTTCAGCCCAGCCCTGGCTGCTGCAGACAGGAAGGAGGCGGATTAGGAAATGATTATGACTTTCATAGTTTCAGGTCCAGTTATCAGCACACTTACGCTAAGTAAAATACATGTGCAAAAGGTGTTTTTAAAAACATCACTAATAACAACCTGTGTTAAAGTCATGTATGTTTGGGCTACAGTGCGACATTTCAATATGTGCCTGTCATGTACATTGATCAGGTCAGTGCAGTCAACAGTCATTTGACCTTACTTCATGCTTGGGGCTTGGAGCGCCTCCCTTCTGTTTGTTCATGGCATCTCTGCACTACTGCTGTGCGACAGTAGGAACTTACTCCTTTGTTCTAACTATGACTTGGTAGCTATTCTTTGAATTCCTTCTATGCACACTACCACACAATCTCAACCCCAGTGTGTGGTAACAGCTTGTCTGTGTTCAGACTGAGGTGTTTTATGTATGTTTTAGATAGAGGGTAGTAAATGTGGTATCTCTCTTTAAGTGTCTGGGTTTTCTCACTTGAATTGATGCTTTCTAGATCAATCCCTTTTGCTGCAAATGTCTGGATTTCATTCTTTGTGATCACTAAACAGTATCTCATTGTGTATTATGCCATGTGCCAAACATGGACCCGCTGACAGTGGCTACTGGCGAACTCTGCCTTGAGCAAGAGTGTGAAGTTTAATGTAGCATTTCCTGGAAAAGCCCACAGCTAAGATGCCAATTTCATGATGTAGGGATTTTCTTCAGGTTAGTGTCGTTTAGTCGTAGTTCTGTAGCGCCCAGAGGAATGCCTGAAACACAGAAACGACCTGCCAAAGTGTTTCTGAAATCATGATTGGAAACGTATTACTGCGTTCTGATGAGTATGAACTAGAATGTTTGCTTAGAATGTTGATTATTTTATCATCCAATTTTATATTTCTGTATGCGCTAAAAAGCATGTATGTAACACTTCAGTTTAGATATTTACGTCAGAAGTTAGTGATTCTGTTAAGCCAAGATGTTAAATGAAAATTAGTCTTCATCAAGCTTGTAGTCTGATGTTGCAAATAACCACATGCCTGATTATATTCCTTAAAGGCTTCATGAATTACAATGCACTACAACACACCAAGAGGACTGGGTGTTCCCGTTTGATTAGAATGCAGGGGATCTTTGAAAACTTTATGGAAAATGTTCATTATCAAAATAAACTTATCTTTTAATTCCATTTCATAATCTTCATGTTTGAATGAGAGAACTTTTTTTTTTAAAAAAAGTAATACATTTAAAACATTTTATAAACATAATAAACTTAATAAATTTGCATAATTGTAAGGTGTTGATTGTATGACACTTGCAATTATTAAGGATAATGCACAAGAAATAATCACAAGAAGTTAAAATAGGAGGCAGTATGTAGGTCAAACTGATCATCACTAACTTACTGATTAGTTCCCAGATGGCGCCTTGTGATTCGAAATAGCAAAGCTTCAATACTAAACCTTCATTTGACAAAGAAGACTGCTACTGTGAAATGAAAGGTTTTTGGCCTCCAAACTTAAGCTTTGCTTTATAAAATAGTGGTTATAAATTTCTGTGACTACTCAACTAGCGTCAAGTACAAATCCAAATATATTTAAACAAAAATTTCATTCAAGGGAAAGTCACCAACCTCTTTGGAGAGGGCGCGATTGACCCTTCCTCTGTGCTGGTTCTGGTGAATGCCGTCTACTTCAAAGGACAATGGCTCAGCAAATTCCAGGCAAGGGAGACGGTGAGGGCGCCCTTTCAGCTAGCTGAGGTGAGTAGCTCATTTTCAGAAGGACTTTGTAAAGGTGGTCTTGGTTTCCATAGATGGCTTCGTATTTTTATTTTTCCACAGGAAATATGAGTAAGCATTCCCAGATGCCCTGGCAGGAAAGAAATGTATTATTTCCAGGTGTTCTGTATGTCTGCCTTTTCCTTATGTATCATTTTCTCAAGCAGTACAATAATATCATCTACTGGTTTTCTTCCAGGAAGTCTTTGAGGTTTTAAAAGAAAATCACCCCCTGTAGATTTCTTTATCTGTATAATTTTAGCAAGAAAAGTGATTCAAGGCTTTCTCTATATTACTAGAACAACTTAAACTCTTGTCATTTTCAAATTAGAAAACGATAGTAGGGAAGTGGTAAAAGGAGTTACCCGTGTGCTTGGAGTGCTAATGTAAATGTTCATGTTATACAAGGGTGTCGGGTGCTCCATATATGCCTACCTGTGTAACTATGTAACTGCATGGCCTAATGATAATCTTATACAATTTTTTTAGGGTAAAAGTGTACTCGTGGAAATGATGTACCAGACAGGGATGTTTAAACTGGCCGTCATCGAGAGGCCTCAGATGCAAGTTCTTGAGCTGCCCTATGTCAACAACAGACTCAGCATGCTTGTTCTGCTTCCAACAGGCACAACTAAGCTTGAACAGGTACAGTGACAGGAGTGCTGCTTGCTGGGAGGGCTTGTGCATGCACGTCCACCCCAAAGTCCCTCTGCTTTAGGACACTGGACTTAGAGAAGTTATTTTTACATAAAGGGAGGCACACAGTGGCAGAAGCACCCTCTTGCAGAAATCCACACACATCCTGGTCCTTTGATGCTTGGTGACACCTGCCATAACCATGAGATTTTATTGCTGGTTGAGCGCCTAGTCCACAGAGACAACTCGTTCTCACGGGCAGTTTTTCTGCTCCACTTGTGACATATAGTCATGGGCTAACAATTTTTAACTTCCTGGTGTCGTGTGTGTATCTGGGAGTGGGGAGTGGGGATAAGTGAACGCAACCATTAAGAAGATACCAAGGTGAGATAGGGTGTTTGGGTCAAACTCCTTCTCCCAAACTGCCTAGCACAGGGAAGGCAAGCTTGGGAGTAAGCATCCCTACATCACCCAGTGGGACTTCCCAATGCTCTGTTAGAAGACAGAGCTGCTTAGGAGGCCTGAGTATCTGAGAGGCTACAGAAGTGCTCGCTTTCTCTCTAACACACACACACACACACACACACACACACACACACACACACACACACACACACACACACACACTCTGATGGGTGGCCTCAGGTGGAGGGGTCCCAAATTAGAATACTGTCGTCATGAGATTAAAAGCAGTGTCACAGATGTGTGACCTGGGGACATGAGGAGCTTCCTGGAAAGGCTGGGTCTGGGAATAAACAGTTAAAAAAACACGAACTGGGACTATGGTAAGTGATGCAGGTTAGGGCCATGAGAACAGGTGTGGCCAGTTCAGAGGCAAGTGGGACCCTGGTGTCTGCAGTCAGCTGCAGTAAAAGATACTTGGATACACATGAGGATACTTCAAAAACTTCATGGGCAATGGAATTAAAGAGTTTATTCTGCTGCAAAAATTTTCAAAACTCATATGTGGTTTTATCACAACATTTATGTCCATGGGTATTTTGAAGCTCCCTTCATATGGCAGTTTGGCGGCAGTTTGGCAGCAGTTTAGCTCCTGTGGAAAGTCCTGGGGCTGGATGGCTCCAGTTGGAATGAGCGGCTAAGTGAAGCGTTCCCAGAAGGATACTCTCAAAGCAAGCTTTACTAAATGAACGGAAGATGGACAGAGGAAAGGGAACGAAGAGCACCAACAAATACTTGAAGAGTGCTTGTGTAATGAGACAGGCTAACTTGGATTAAGGCAAAAGAAGAACTGTTTTTCTGTCAGATTTCCAGTGCCACAGTAGGGAGATACTGGCAAACATCTTTTACATGGTGGTTGTGAAAAAGCACTGTAGCTTGAAGCTCTGGGGAGGGCTGCTTACAGAGGTTCCAGTGCCCAAGGACAAACGTTCAGAAGAGTTGAGGAAAAATGAGGAGCTTACTGGAAAGAAGTCAGTGTGATTCAGGCTGATCTGGAAATGCTGGGCAGAGGTAGGAAGGGTGTCTGTGTTCAGCTGCAGGAGAGGCACAGCAGAGGCACCAAAGGAAAAGGACACCCGAGGTCAGAGTTGGCAGAGTGGACTGGTGACCCCAGCACCCTGGGAGCCACAGGAGGACCCAGCTCTGAAGGGAGTGTGTGGTGAAATGTGGCAGATATGAGGCATGCGAAGCTATCGTGGAATTTGTCCAGGACATGGGCACGCTGTAGCTTCAGGGGTAGTAGAAAGACAAGTTAAGATGCACCATACATGCTCAGGTAATCAAGGCTGAAAGCTGGCTGGAGTGCACTGAGAAGCTGAGTGATAAACTGTGGAGGAGAAGGGGGGGAGAAGTGGACAATGACAATGGGAAAGGAATGTGAAATTAAATGTAAGACTTTTTTTTTTTGCCTACTGGGCAAGGTATGGGCATGTTTTGAAGGCAGAGATAAAACCGACCCATTCAGATTGAGAATTATGGCAACCAGCAATGTTCCTTGTAGAGGCCTGGATTTGGCTCACGCAGGCTCATCTACTTTTTCCCAGATAGCAAAGCAGCTGAACGTGCGGACATTTGAGAAATGGACAGGCCCTTCCAACATGGTGGAGAGAGAAGTGGAAGTACATTTGCCCAGATTCAAGCTCGACGTCCAGTATGAGCTCAATTCCTTGCTGAAGTCCCTGGGAATGACAGACATTTTCAACAAGGACAAGGCTGATCTTTCTGGGATGTCATCAGCCAAGGGGCTGTACCTTTCAAAAGTCATTCACAAATCCTACGTGGATGTCAATGAAGAGGGCACGGAGGCCGCTGCTGCCACTGGGGCCAACATTGCTGTGAAAAGACTCCCCATCCGATACCAGTTCACAGCCAACAAGCCTTTCCTGTTTCTTATAAGGGACAACCCTTCCAAGATGATTGTCTTCTGTGGCAAATTTGCCTCTCCATAATGAATGGGCTGAGTGATGCTCAGAGTCACCAGGGAGGTGCCTGGGCAGTCACGTGACTACCTTGTAGCCCAAGAACCGTTGTTTCTCACTTACCTCCACACCTTGGTTTGCTGATGTGCAGAATAAGTCTAGGATCTCTGCCAACTTACTGTATGAATTGGTAATCACAGAAGATGTACAAACTCTCCTCTGGCTTTATCTCTGGGGTTTTGTTTGACTGCTTGCTGCCTGGGTGATAGGACCAAATTTAATGAGAACAGTTTTTTGAGAATTAATTTCTTGATTTTTATGGATAGCAGTAGAATCTTGAACAAGTGATGGCTTTAGAAAACTACTTTTATGAGCTTCAACTTTGCTTGGATATTTACATATCATGATTTCACTTGTTTACGTAAATGTAAGATCACAAATTTTAGATCAAAATTCTGTATTGGCTCTAATAAATTTAATGAATAGCTTAAACCCCTTGAAGACTTTTAATACCCACTCAAATGGCTTTCAGAAGGAGACTTCAACTAAGCGGAAGACTATGCAGTGATTTCTGTTGAGTAGTGGTTTTCCAAATCTTTGTTAGGTACTGAATTGAAAAATATAGTTCTTCCGTTGAAAAAAGTCGGCGAGCAAAATGTTGTAGCAATTAGAGATAGACATCTGTTAGAGACTTTTATTGTAAAGAAGATACCCTGAAGGGTCAGTGCTGGGATGTACCAGTGCCAGCATCCTGCATGGGCATGCAAGGTTGAGTCCTAGCTGCTCCCTTTCTGATGGAGCTTCCTGTTTGTGTGCCTGGGAAGTTAGCGGGTAATGGTCCAAGAACTTGAACCTCTGACATCTTATAGGAGAAGCACAAGGAATTCCTGGCTCCTGGCTTTGGCCCTGCCAGACCTGGCTCTTACGGTCACTCATGTGGGGAGTAAACCGATAGATGGCATTCTTTCTCTGTTTCCCTCCCCATCTCCCTGTTACTCTGCATTTCAAATCAATCAATAAATTTTGTTTTAAAGAAAGTCTCCTTATTTTCTATGCAGGATACCTTGGAGTGGCAATCAGCCAATGGTGGCCTAACACATTCTCTAGATTTGGTGGGGGTGATGTAGAGAGACATGAAGCAATGATGGTGTGAGAAGAAAACATGAACATGTATCTTAGCTTCTCCTGAACATTAAACATCCTCAACACACCACAGTGAAGTCTGTGCAGTGATGCTGGTCTCTCTAGGAGGCATGTGGACTGTGCTGTAGAGACCAGGAGTCCACATGGGTCAGGAACCCTGGGTATGATGATTGCAGGGCTGTGTGGCCCTTTCTGAGTTTGTCCAGTCAAAAGGCTTCAGAGTACCTGGTCGTTCCATGCCAGAAGCCTGTGTGCCCTGAATCAACTCTGAGAATCTAAAGGAAACCTTTGCCAAAGATGAAGGTCTCACATCCCTCAGAGAACTCCTTTGCAGGCACCTCTTCCTTCATGGCCTTTCCCTTGCTCTTTTTATCTGCAATGAAATATGAGCATTCAATAGTATCAGCTCTGCCCTTCCCCTTTTTTTTTGAGTGAGAAGATTATATTTGACCAAATACATGCTTTAGAAGAGAGTGCCTAATTAACTGGTACTTCTCCTGATCTTAGCTGGGCATCCTTTTGCACTCATTGTCAAGCTGAGTATTTCTGTTTACTTATGCAATAGTGGCTTAAAAAGTGCTAGGAACAGGGTCTTCACTGGTCAGAACATTTTATTGAAATTTACTGAAGCAGATCTCTGAAGCATATGTTTCTTGGAGAGTGAAATCTTTCCAAGTATGGAGGGAAAATGATGAAAGTGGAGAAACATCAGATCACTCCAGTGAACAAATCCACTGGCCAGAGGTCATGCCAATGCAGAACTGAGAGAACCAAGACTCCAGTGAGCTTTGTGTTACTGCTGAGTTAAAAGGAAAGCTTCAGAAAACCCAACATAATGCTTAAGAATAGAACAAGACAATCAGTACTTGCAAGAGTTACCTTAAAGCCATAGTAATCAAAGCAGTGTGATATTATTGAAAGAATAGACAAATAGATCAATGAAAATAGAAGAGAAAGCCCAAAAATAAAACAATAGCTTTTTGACAACGATATAAAGGCAACTCAATGAAGAAAGAATAACATTAGCTCCAAATAGAATCAAAGGATTTAGTGTAAAGTGAGAGAAACAATGAGATTTTTAAATAATTTAAGAGTTGTTTTTGGCAACAACCTTTTATATATAACACCAAGAGTATAATACATGAAAGAATAAAATGGACTTTATTGAATCTAAAAACTTCTGCTCCACAAAAAATGCCATGGTAAGAACTATATTTAAAACATATTTAATAAAAGATTGGTATCTAAAATATAAGAGGAATGTTGAAAATTAAATTTCAAGAGAATAATTCAAAGCAGGGAAAACACATGGAAAGTTTTCCAAACAAGACACATAAGTGACCAAACAAGGGACTTAAGGAACAATAAGCAAATGTCAGTGTGCTCCAGGCATAAGGCGGGAATTGGGAGCGATCCTGACAGCCTCTTAACAGGAGGCCGTGTGTATGGAGCAGAGGGGAGACCCCGGAGTGGAGCGTGTGGCCAGGAAGAGGCTCGTATCCCAACCCTGAAGACTCCCAGATCCTCACCAAGGACTATCAGTACGGACACCAAGGACTACATCCCAACTGCCAAGGAGACCACGGGGAATAGGAGTGCCTTCAGAGGCCGAGAACTCTGAGGTCACCCACTCCCATCTGGAACTTCCACAGGGGATGGAACAAGTCCAAACTCTGCCATGCAGAAATCAGTGTCATTGAAATGACAACCAGGAGCCCTGAGTGGTCTGCAGAAACAGAAGAATAATAAACTTCCTTCGGGACTAGGGAGGCGAGCTTTCTCTGGTCCTCACCTAGTTCCGGCTCTGGGTCCCCACCCTCTCTTGCAATGACCATTAGGATCACTCCAGAAACCCCTCAAAACAAACAAATAAACAAACATACAAACAAAAAACCTAGAAGGGACAGACAACAAGAAGGAAAGCTTAGAATCAGACAGGAAAGGGTCAGCAGGGATTCACTCATACCTCACTAGGTGGGACACAAAGATTAGTTATGCCTCACTGGGGTATTGGGGATTTCTCTATACACCCATCCTAAAAAAAATGTTCTGTACCTAAACTGATGACACATGTCTTGCTAGAGTTATAAGCCAGTTCAGACCATCCGAAAAACAACCAAGTTCAGCAAAATCATGCTTCAACACTATAAACAGCTAAGTACTAAAATGAAAATAGATACAAGACAGCTGAATAGTAATCTATAGCCATTTTGAGGTGTATAGAACCCAGTTGAATATAAACCGAAACTGAAATGTCTATGAAGAAGTCCCAGGATGTGGTTAAGAACCTGCATTTTCCTTTTAACATATTGGTTAATCAATACTATGTCAATTAATGCCATAATGTAAATTGTTGCTGATGTTATGTTGGGGCTTTTAATTGATTGGAATGATACTCTGCCAGCTCTACCTTCAGACCAGAGATGGTCTCTCCAAGAAACCATTGAACTTACCAGGACAATAAGATGCTGGACTTTATGCTTGGTGTATACTTCTAATGTAAGAATCTCAACTGAATTTGAACTGTGGTAATGCAACAGGGTGGAGGAATCCACCATGCAGGAAGGGTTTGGGGAGGGGTAGGGGGAATACCAGAGCCTATAACATAATGCAATGTAATTAATAAAATAAAGGTAATTTAAAAAAATGTCATTGTGCACAACATCTTATTTCCTTACAAAATTTCAAGACTGGTGTGTACCTGTTAGAATTACTAAAATCCAAAACACAGCACATACTGGTGATGTGATCACCATTCTGAATCATTGCTAGCACCAATGCAAAATAGCATATTGGAAGATAGTTAGCTATCCACACACACACACACACACCCCGCACATCACACACCACACACACACACACAAATAAATGTACTGCGATATAATTAAGCAATTGCATTCCTTGGCATTAACTAAAATAAGTTGAAAACTTACATCTGCACAAAATCCTGCTTACAAAACTTGACACAAATGATCACTATTTCCAGAGCTCGGAAGAGAAGCAGATGTTCTTTAACAGGTACACGTGTTTTACAAAAGTCAGTATATTCCTGTGGTGGAATATTATTTGCCAGTAAAAGAAATGAATGATTAAGTTCTGAAAAGACATGAAGGGTTCTTAAATACACATTGCCACGCAAAAGAACAAAGTCTGAGGGGCTAAATTCTGTGTCATTCCCCTGTATGACATTCTGGGGAAGGCAAAGCTGTGGCGACAGTGCAAAGATCGTGGTGCCTGGAATCAGAGGGAGGAAGGAAGTGAAAAGCAGGTGAGGTATGTAGGATATTTGTGGCAACGAATGTGTTGTGTGATATCGTATTTGAGACTATGAGTATACTCCAAAAGGCTCATGGAACGTAGAATCAAAAGAGGCATTTATTTTGATATAAAGAACTGAAATATTTGCATAGTTTTTTTTTTGGTAGAATGTATTGATTTACAAAAATAGACATGTTGCCTAATTCCACTTTCCATGAACTTTTTAAAGTACCCTTGCACATTCCACTGAAAGTTAGGGCAAACTATAGAATTTATTCCATAGTTCACATCTTATTAATTACAAAATAATAAGCTAATAATAACAGTGAGTTATCAATTGCAACAAAACCTGTCATGATAATGAAAATGATTAATGATAGACGACCCCACTGGGGAGGAGATCCACGGGTTCCACGGGGGCTCTACCTTATGATGAATTTTCTGTAAACCTAACACTTGCAAAAAAAGGTAAAAACTTATTTTTTTAAGAAGAAAGTTGAGTGGACAATGAGAAGTTAGAGCTCCTTTATCTGGATTTTAAAAATGGAATCAAAAGTCTGTATTATTCTTCAGATGCTCTTGAACCTTAGTTTGTTCTAATTTCTATTGTTTTCAGAACTTGTGATTCA